TTATAGAATTGTACACTTGAAACCTATGTAATTTTTAACCAATGTCACCTCAATAAATTTAATAAATAAGTAAATTGAAATATAAATAAACAAAAAGGAAAAAACTAGCCCGTCTTGCTTCTTACCTTGCCAGTTTTAACAGCAGCCCCATATCCTGTGGAAAACGCACATCCAAGTAAACAGACTTTCTCTGGAGGAGCTGCATCATCAATCTTAACAACGGCAAATTCGTCCACCACCGTGTACTCAGTAAACGTACTGGTGTTCACAAAGTGATAGACGGTTTTGCCCCTGCATGTAAATCTGGTAGTGCCATCGGCCAGTACTCCGCGGCCCGTAAAGCTATTTGATACATCAAACACACATATTAGTTCAATTCAAAATTTAGCATTAGATTTAAAAACAATGTAAATGGCATTGGAGTAAAAATGACTGAAACCTACTCGCTCATAATGCAAACGTTTGCATCTGGATTGCGGCAAGATTTGCATTCTCTACACTGAGGCACAAAGAGGGGGATGACTTTGTCACCTAGAGGGAAACATCAGAAGACGTTGGTCATTAACATTAAAATATGAAATAAACAAATGTGCTTTGAGCCTATGCCATATGCAAGAATTTCTGAAAAGTATTCTAAATTTTATGTGTCGTGAGGTTTGCTTGCTAAAGGTCGAGACTGTTAAATTAAACTTTACTCCGTATCATCCATCTCCTTGTATCCATTTATCCCCCTAAATCGTGTTAAGGCTCTCTCTACTAATTCCTAGTTGTGCTGTTTCCTTTGAGAAGTTATGTCAAACTTGTGACTTGACGTACGCATACCTGGTTTCACCGTAGTGACTCCTTCTCCGATGCTCTCCACGACCCCAACTGCTTCATGTCCCACAATCACTGGAAACTTAGATGCTAACGTTCCTTTCATCACATGGTCATCTGAGCGACAGATTCCTGTGGCCAAAATCTGTGTTCAAAGACAAGAACATTGCACCAAACAGCACACTGGTCATTTTACACTTGGAAGGATATTTAACTCACTGCTAAAAAGATAGCTGTTTATTCAGTATGACTGCCTAATATAGTGGTGACTTATAGAAGGTTCTGAGCCTAATATCAAGCATCAGGCAAGATCCCTCTCATCAAGGGATTTACAATATTGCTGCCTCTGGCCCTACTTTGAATCTCAGTGCCTTTCTGTAGTAAATTGTTGCTCTTATGAGGGATCCAGAATGCAGATTTTACCATGTGGCCAGCACAAAAGTAGATTTTTACAGCTAGGCGCTCCTAGGACTCTCTCAATGAAAGGTAAAGGGAATGGCGTGCAAGAAGGTGAGCGAGGAGCAAAATCTTACTGTTATTACAGTGCCCAGGTAACAGGAGAGGGTCAAGGAAAGACTGGCAGCAATGCTACTCAACAACTTTGTGTCCAAACCAACCTTTAGGCTCTGTCCAAAGGAATGGGGAGAAACACTCCCAGAAGTTGTCATTTCTCCAGGCACAAATGAGCTTGAAAGGTAATCTCAATACTCTCCAACTCCCAGAAGATTTTAAAAGAAGTCATTAGTCATGATTACTAGGCACTTTAAAAATCAGAGCCATGTCAATAAAAATTCAACAAAAAAATTTTAATAGAGTGAATTAATATTGTTGTTTTTAATGGATAATTAAGTCATTAATTTCATATCTAGTATGA